TCTTGCTTTTCTTTTCCCTCCAGATGAATTCTCAGAGGGATTCTTTCAACTCTTGGTGGTGGAGCAGGGAGGGCTTGTTTTTCATGCTGTGCTTCCTGCAGGTTGTTTTTTTTCCTGAAGGCGTGCTGAGGAACCTGATAAAAAAAAAAAACCAAAAACAAAAAACAAAACAAAAAAAAACACCAAAAAAAAAAAAAGCGAGGGATCCATAAATTAGAAACTAGATTTTCAAGAAACTAGAATTTCTAGAAACTGGAAATTAGAAATATTTCCTGATGTGTTCCAGCATGCTTTAGCCGAAAGCATGAAGCCAAAAGGTGGGTTCCAGCAGGGTTGGGTGATGTCAGCGGGGTTGGGTAACGTCAGCAGGGGCCAGGTGACGTCAGCAGGGGCTGTGTGACGTCAGCAGGGGCTGTGTGACGTCAGCGGGGGCTGTGTGACGTCAGCAGGGTCAGGTGACCTTTCGTGGCCTGGCACAAGGCCCAGGAGGTGCCGTGGGACGTGGGGACCAGTGACATTTTCCGTCACCGCTCTGGATTCACTCTGGGCCACGTGCTGGGGAGCGGGGTAAGGAGCTCGTGCTGCCTCTGCCCACACCAGCTCTGACTGTAGCCAGGAAAAGGAATTTATATATTTAGAGATGATGATTTTGACTTTAAAATCCTGGGGATGGTGACTGTGACACAGCCCACGATTCCTGTGTGATGCAGGATCAAAAATGGGATTTTGGAGCTAATTTTTCCTCCTGGCATGGGAGGGTCCAACTGCAGCTTCGTCCCCTTTGGCGTGACAGTGACGTGCACAGCCCCAGGGATGCAGGAGTGCTCCAAAATCGGGTGGCAATGAACATCCTGAGGTTCTCAGCGTCCACAAATCCTGGGCCTGTTCCTTCCATCTCCTGGCAGCCCTGGCTGCTCCCTCCTGCCTGCTGAGCATCCATCCAGGAAAGCCAGAGCTGTGAGGGGCAGGACTGGCAGTGCTGCTCCTGCCTCCAGTGCCTTTTGATTTTCCTTCTGTGTGTGTCAGAGGGGCCTTGCTGCCAGCTCAGGCTGCGAGGGCAGCGCTGTCTGAGTGGAATTGCATTAAAAACTGGCTTTTTAAAAGGAGCTGTGCATCTTCCCAGGCAGGGCTGGGTGCCAGGGCTCAGCAGAGCTGTCCCTGCCCGCGAGGAGCTCCAGCAGTGTCTCACTCGCAGCGCTTCGCTCCGCGGGCGGCAGCGTTGGCAGCCGGGCAGGAATTCAATAAACAGCTCCGTCCTTCTGGAGAACCTCTGAGGCTGGAACAGCAGCACGGAGCTGGTTATTCACAGCAGCCAGCACAGGCCTCAGGAAATGTGTCCCTGACCTGTGCACCCTCCCCAGAGAGCTCTGTGGTGGCTCAGGAGGCAGGGAAGTGACACAGGGGACAGACTTGGCCCTAGGCAGGACGGCCACGTGCCTGGGGACAGTGCAGATGGGCAGGCACTGCCCAAATGTCTGAGGGCAGCAGAGCTGAGCCTCCCCCAAGCTGCATCACTTGGCCTTAGAGCCCCTCACCCCTGTCAGTCAGGGCCAGTCTCCTCCTGGATCAGAGAATCCTGGAATGGTTTGGGTTGGGATAAACCTTAAAGCCAGTGCCAGCCCCTGCCATGGCAGGGACATTTCTGCTGTCCCAGGTGGCTCCAAGCCCTGTCCAACCTGTCCATGGACACAGCTAGTGATACCCAATTTTAAGGGGATTAGAGATGTCCATGGCAGGGAAATGCCCAGGATCAGCCAGGTGTATCCACAGCAGCTCCACAGCTCCTTGTGGAGGAGATCTCATGGTGCAGGTGAAGGGTTTGGTCGTGTCCCCTCCCAGCACTGAGGGCACAGAGGGAATGACCCAAGGAATGAACTTGCTGCTTTCTCTGTTCCTTCTCTCTTTGTGTCTTGCTGAGATTTTCTATTATCACTGAGCCAGGAGCAGGTTTATGTGCTGGGAGCATGATTGATTTCCAGCTCGCACCTTGCAACAGTCTGAAAGCAAACCATGCTGGCTTTTGGCTTCCTTGATATTCCTGATAGCAAGGAAAAAAAAAATACTGAGCTCAGAACAAAATATCCCAGCAGCTTTCCCCAGCAAATCCATGCTGAGGTTTCACTGGGATCATCCCAGAAGGAAAGGAGATTTTGAACCTTGCCTTTATCAGGAGCTGTGGTTTTACAACTTTTGGGGTCATGCCAATGGACAGGTTGAGGTTTGTTCATGCATTTTTTTGTTTGATCCCTTAGCAAAGTCCCACAATGCAAATTTAGAACACTTTGGATTGACCACTGGTTGGAGGAAGGAAATATTGTGTTCTAAAGCCTGTGGATTTGTTAACCTCAACAATCTGCAAGGTTTGATGGGCTCAGCTGCGAGTTTTGCGTTGTTCCATATGATTTTTGGGGGAAAACCAAAAGAAAGCAGCACTGAGGTTCAATACAGCATCCCCCCAACAAGGCAAGCAGGAGAGAAGGAGTGATTTTGTTGCTGGTACTGCTGCTGAGTTATTCTCAGAAAACACAAATTTTATGGATGCTGGGAGATTTTATTGTTGTTCTTAATGATTCATTTGACCCTTGCTGGCTGCCAGTGAACCCAGCCTGGGAGCAGAGTCTCTGCAGACAGAGCAGGAGACAGAAATGTCAATTGCCACTTGTTCTGTTCAACCTGATTCCTCCAAACCTGAAGTGGGAATATCTGGAATGGATCTAAATCTCCACCTGTGCTTCATGCATGCAAATCATAGGTGTGTTGTGTTAAACTGCATCCTGAAAAGCTGGGAAAAAACAACCTCCAAGGAGTGAGAAGCAAATGGGAGGGTTGGAATGTTCAGGAAATACCTTTGTGTGTGTCTGAGGCTGGGGTGGCGATGTCTCAGTGATGCCTTGGCACCATCTGTGTCTCCAGGCTCTGGATATTGGGAACATTTCTTCCCAAAAAGGGCTGTCCCATCCTTGGAGGGATTTAAAGCCCTGTGGAGGTGGCACTTGGGGACAGTGGTGGCCTGGGCAGTGCTGGGGAACGGTTGGACTCCAAGGGCTTTTCCAACCCAAACTATTCCATGATCCTGTGGTCCTTTGGTCCCAGAGCAGTTTGTGATTTGTTTGTGATTTGTCACCTGGTCAAAATCTCTCTTTTACAGAGACGTGAGAAAGCTGAGCATAGGAGGGACTGACCAGGCCCAATCACCTCGGCCTCAAATAACTCACAATTTAAAAAAATTAGGTCAATAATGCACCAAAGTTTACCCAGAGAGTCTCAGGCTGAGCCTGGAAACCCTGAGCTTTAATCACCGGCCTGTTCTGGCCCCTCACCTTCCACAAAAAGTGTTGTGTGAAGGTTAATTTTGGATTAAAACGGGGTTGGACTAAATGCAGACACAATGAGAGCTGAGCTAAGCTGTGCTCAGGCAGAATCCAGCCCAAAGTGGTTTTTTTTGCAGCAGGAACATGGCCTAATCCTCTTATCCTTGGAGTTGGAGGTCCTGGACGAGTGGGAATGGGAGGTTCCATTCAAAGAGAGGATTTGCTCTCTGAATAAGAGGACTCAGGCTGGAAATGCAAATAGTCACCTGTTCTCTTGATGGGTTTATAAAGGGTTTAAAGCTGCAGGCTTTAAATGAGGCAAATCTCATCCTCATTTCAGCCCTCCTGGACCTGGAGGATCCTGAAGAGCTTCACCAGCAACCACAATTCTTTTAAAACTCTTTTTCTTTTTAAAAAATCGATTCAGTGTCATTGGATTTTGTCAACCACGATCCACCATGATGAGGGAAAATGGTCAACCACAACCTGAGATCACATTTTTGTTTAAATTTTTGTTTAAAATTTTTGGTTTTTGTTTAAAATTCCTAAAGGCTCTTCCATGCTGCTGGATTTCTCCTCTCAGCTCTCTGTCTCCTGGAATGAAATGCACTTAATCAGGAGACTGATTAAGTTCATTATGGTTGAAAAAGACCTTCCAGATCATCAAAATTATCTGAAATAATGCAGTGAAATTTGACATTATCTATAACAGCTCAGGTCTCCCCAAGGACTCACACAAATGTCCCTCCTGGAGCCTTTGACCGTTGATTTTTCAGTGTAAACACCAAAGGAAATTCAACATTTGGGGTTTCTGCCCCACTGTGTGCATGGCTGACACTCTGTGGCTGTCAAAAAAATGATCCTCGTCATTTTCTTTGGAATCCTGGAATGGTTAAAGTTGGAAAAGCTCTTGGATCAGCGAGTTCAACCATTAACCCAACACTTTTGTAGATGTGGTGCTCATTCTCAGAAAAAATAAATGGAATTTAATGTATTTCGTTATTCCCTGTGCAGCCCAACATTCCTAGACCCTGTGGGATTCAGCACTTTCGCACTCCTCCAGATAAATAAACCACAGAATCCCCTAAAATACTGCACCATTCAATTTGTTGCAGCAACAAATGATGCTTTTAGACATGGAATATTTGCTGTGTTGCTGGATAACAGAGTTTATTAATGAGATTAACAGAGTTTATTAATCCTGTAGAAGTTTGGATTGATTAAACTCAGTGTGGGCTAAGATATGGCTGCGTAGTAGAAATTAATGTCCAAAGAATTTTAATTGTCAGGAAAGAATTTCATTTGGTGTATTAAGAACTAAGCATGTAAAAAAAAAATAATGTTGGGGGAGGAAAATAGAAAAAAAGAAAGTATATTATTTTTGTATTGTGGCTGTTTTGAGTATAATGAGACCCTTTGGGGAACTTTCTACTTAAAATGCACTTTTAATGTTTCTCCCTCGCTGCCAGAGGGGCTTGGCGAGGTCTCCACCTGATATATTGTGAGTGGTAACAAACTCTTGAGATGGATTTTTGAAATCTCCAGACCTCTGACCAGACTTGAAGTGATGACACAAAGGTAACAATAAAACCACTTGAGAGACATTTAATGGGACACTTTAAATGAAATCCCCGGGGTTGGTAATGGCAGCTGAGCGTGTTCTTGCCATTTTCCCATTTAACAGGAAGAAAAGGCCAAACAAGGAGCAATTAGTCAGAATAAAATCAGCTTTGATGACATTTTCCCTCCTGAACTCTGGTATAAAATGGTCACCTGAGGAAGAACTGAAAGGATGTGTGAGGAATTTGGATGCAGAGCTGCATGTTCATACACAGAGTGCTGGGTGAAAAATGAGCAGGTAAAGCCACCGCGGCGTTCTTGGCGCACGGGTTCCTCTCTCTTCATATTTTCCTTGATTTTGGTCCGAAATTTCATTAATCTCAGCTTTTCTTTGAAGTCTATGCAGGCTAAACTTGGTTTTCATCCTGTGGATCTCCATGACCTTGGTGGGCTTGGGTTTCCCAGTTGGCCCTTCCATGGTAAGTCCCATTCCCTAATTACCCCCAGATCTGTTTTGTTCCTCTTAAATTACTCCTTTATTTAAATTTATTTTGTTTGCTTGATTGCTTCTTTGCTGCTGTGTTTTTATTTTTTTATAAAATGAAAGAACTTTTTTGTATTAAAGCTATTGGTTAAATATTATTACCTGATTTTCCTGGAGCATAGCCTAATTTTTCTGGGGTTATTAATAAAATATGCAAGTCTCTGAAATAATCATGTGAGCAACTCAGTGCATATTTAATGTGGAATATGGGGAGCTGAAATCCTGGATGGAAGAGAGAAAACCACAAATCTCCTCTCTGTTTAATCTGAATTCCTTGAATATCTCAGAGAGGTGCAATTAGATATATATGTATAGATAGATAGATATGTGTATATCAGATATATATGTATTAATTTCTCTTATTGCTAGTGGGTTTATCAATTAATTAATTTATTTATAATCAACTTATTTATTTAGACACAGCTGGATCTGAGTAGCCACATTTCCTAATGGATGGGTTCTCTTTACAGCAATGATATCACAGTTAAAAAAAGTTTAATAAATGTCAAAATAAAAATCATTTATTCACTAAATCTAGAGAAGTAGCAGCTAAAAATCCAGAAAGGGAATTTCTCTGTGCCTGGTGTTTTGGTTTTTATTGGGTTTTTTCTTGCAAAAAGTGTTTTTTCTTATTAGGGAGAAAATTCAGTCTGGGAAACACCTTGTCAGTGGCAGAAGGTGTTGGTTGCAGAAAAAGTCATCAAACAAACAAAAAAAAATAACTTAATAACCAGTATTAAATAAGAGCAATAAAACACTGAATTAAAACAAATCCTAATGAAGTTAATGGCAATTTTACCAGCAATTCCAATTAATACTATGGCTTTGTAGGGAATTTTTAGAGATGGCAGAATATGGCTTTTAGCTGGGAAATCAGGAGATGATGAAAGACTCACAGATCAACCACAGACGTGCCAGGAAATGTTTTTATTTTATAATTCAGCAGTAATTAAAAGCAGTTTCTATTAAGAGCTGTTGAAATCTGTCAAAGTTTTTATGTAGTTGGCATTTTTTGTTCTGTAGAGCACAAGTAAAAGGAAAAGTGTGCAAAACCCTGGATTTTTATCCAAGCCTGAATTTTTATCCAGACTTTTTAAAATTCCCATTATTATTTTGTCATTATTAAACTTACTCGGAACTACTTCCAGAATTGGTCATAACTACTGGAAAGTCTCCTCCAAATTTTAGCTTTACAGGTATTTTTGTTTTCTCTTACCTGTAATTTATGCCTCAGAAGTACACAGAGGTTATAAAAAGCTGGTATTTCATTTTTCCCTGAAAAAAATCTCATTTTACAGCAATAAACACCCGTGTTGTTCCAAGGAAACTGTGTCACAGCTGGTCAGCATCACCGAGACCAATTCATATCCTACACTAAACATAATTGTATCAGTAGTTTAGACCAGAAATTTATAAAAAATACTATGAAAAAATCTGATTTTGAACACGATAAATCCTTAAAAAATAACATCTCATCCTTGTCATTCAAATCATAAATTGCGTTTGTATTTCTGCTTTGCTCTGTATCCTGAACAAGTCCCGGTAAAATACATAAACCTATAATTTTACCTTATCTCAATTTTTATTTTTTTTTTTATTCTTTGTTTGTTTGTTTGTTTGCCTTTAATCTCCAGAGCACCAACCCTTTTTATTTGACCTGCCAGCTGTACGGGAAATGGGATTCGTGCCTGGTGCTGCTGAGCAGCTGCCTCTCCAAGGTGGGCAGGGATGAGGAGCTGCCTCTTGGGAAGCCTCTCCTGGAGCCCCCTCTCCACAAAAGGTCCTTCCGCAACGGCGTCGGAGCGGGAATTAAAAAAACTTCCTTCCGAAGGGCAAAATCCTGAGCAAATGCCCCAAAACCCGGCCCAGGTTTTGACATCTGATGTTTCAGTCGTTGCTTCGAGTTCCTTTTGATGCTTTTCTCTGACAAAGTCCCCAGATGTCGATTTCCGAGCGGATGGGAGCGCTCGGGAAGGGCTTTGTTCCCAAAGTTACGGTAGCATAAAGTTTTGTCTGGAAATGAATGTTTTCATTTGCTTAATTTCCCTCCTTTGTCAAGCTGCAGATTTTAATCAAGTCGCTCTTTGATTGACACAAAGGTAATCCCGTGCTTTTGAGGAGATGTGTGCGCACAGCCTGTGGGGAGGATGGAGTATTCCCAAAATCCTTCCTCTCTGCCAGGCACGAGGCATTCCTGTGCTTTCCCCTCCCAAATCACATTGACCTGGAGACAGCTGGTAATTTTAATACAGATTTAAAGTACATTTCATTTCAGGTTTCCAATGATATGGAGGGCCACCGGTGAAAGAATCAGGCCCTGCTTTTAACTTCCACTGCCTTTTCAATATAGTTATTTAAAATGACTTTGGCAGGAAATCGTCTCCAGAGATCTCTCATCTCATACCCAGAAGAATCCTGGGAAGTCACTCTAAGGCAGGGAATCAGCACCGCTCCCCATCCCTCAATTAATTGACTTAGGGTAGGCAACACCCAGCTGATGAAATGTGCCAAATCTGGGAGGTTTTTTTTAATTTCCTGTTGGGAAAAAAAATAATAAATAAATAAGGAAAAAACCCATTTGATGTGCAATATGTAAATGTGGTGTGGAGGAAAGGTCACCTGGTGATTTCCACATGTGTGAGTTCCACTCGTGGCTGTGTCCCCTGAGTGTAACCAGCTGTGCCCTCGGCGTGGAAACGTGGCAGAGCGTCCCTGCAATGCCTTTGGCAGCCAAAGCTGTGCTAGTAATTACAATAAATCACTCTATGGACGTTTTCTAATATTTCCCTGTTAAATATCACAGCTCAGCAGATCTCTGTTAACCCTGCCATGAGCTGGTTTGGTGTCACCACCTCTGTGATGCCCTCCCTGAGCTCATGGGGAAAAGCGAGCCCAGCATGGAGCTGTGCTGGGTTTTCCTGGATGGTTTCTGGCTGATCCAAGGACACCAAACACATTCCTGCCTGTGTTTGTCCAGGCTGAAAAGTTTAACACATCCTGGTTTTTAAAGTGGCTTAAACACCTGAGTTCCTCTGCGATTGTCTGGAGGTTGCTGGGTTGAGTGGGAACCGTGGGAACCCAGGAGGTATAAAATCCTAGGAACCATGGAAGCCAGGAACCATGGGATCCTAGGAACCATGCAAAATGCCTAAGGAATGTGCTGGATCTTTGTTATCCTTGGGCACTGTCAGATGGGATGAGCCCAGGATGGCACCCTGGTGACACTGCCCGGTGTCACCCCTGCCTGCTGGCACTCCAGCCACGGCAGATGTCCTGCAAGTTTTCCATCCCAAACGCTCTCCAGGTCTCTCCAGGATCCACCAAGGAGCAGAACTTCAGTGCCTTTGGCCATGGAAAAGGGAAGGGCTGGGAATTCCTGGCTGGTGACAGAAGCACACACAGGTTCTGAGTGCAGGGATTGCCCAGAGCTGGGGCTGCCCCCGGATCCCTGGCAGTGCCCAAGGCCAGGCTGGACACTGGGGCTTGGAGCAGCCTGGGAAAGTGGAAAATGTCCCTGCCCATGGCAGGGGTGGGAATGGGATGAGTTTTAGGGTCCCTTCCAACCCAAACCTGTCTGTGATCCCATGATCCCATGATCCCATGATCCCATGAATCCATTCTGCATCTATGCATGGCTGTGGGACTGGGACGTGTTTTGTCCCAGTGCAGAGCTCTGTCCTGCTCATATCCCCACCCAAATGATCTTTCAGGAAAGCAGATCACCCAAACAAATTCAGATTTACCTTTGTTTGGTCTTTGAGATCCGATTTTGCTAACATTTTCCTACATAATCAGTAACTCCTGCCTTGGTAACCGGGGATGAGCAAGGTTGTCTGGAAGCCAACAGAACTCTGCGTGGAGCTTGGAAAATCAGGCTCTTCCCTTTCATTTATTGTGCAGGAATGAGAGTAACTCATTTAGTTTTTTTGGCATTTGCCTTGGAGCAAATTCCAGAGGGATGCAGAGCTGGTGTCCTGCTCCCACAGACCTTCATCCCTTTTTATGGAAAATAAGGGATGCAAAAACTGCATCTTTTATGAAAAATAAAGGATGCAAAAAAACCTGGCTGCTGGAAAAATCCCATTCTTTATGATTTAGCCGGTCCCTGACAGGCCACTCCAGCTGGAGGGATCTGCATGTACAAAACAAAGGCACCAGGAGGCCACCAAGAGCCATAAGTCACCTAAATCAGCTAAATCCAGAGCAAGCCTGGAAAAATGTGGATTATCCAGCTGCTGTTCTGTCACTGGAGGGATGATCTGGCCATCGCTGCCCTCGCAAGAGCCACCCTGCAATGCTGAACTCATCCCTGAACTTTAAAGGTGGCTTTGTTTGGGAGAGAACAGAGTCTGACCTCCGTGATCTCTGTCAGGAAATAAGGAGCTGAGGGTGCCATTGCCAGGCACATTAATTTTTATGCTGACAGGAACTGCAAATGTGGCAGAAAATGTCTTTTTTTTCAGTAAAAAGTGAACAATGGGAACAACTATAGGGATGCCAACCTGCACCGTAATTAATGTGTTGTCATTAATTTTATTTAGAGTGGGGATTCGCGATGCTGTAAGAAGAAAATTTGTGAATTTCTTTGCTATTTTTCTTGGCTAACCTAACAGAAAGAGAAAAGAGTTCAGAGGGTGGGAAGAGTTGATTGAGGAACAAGCTGGGAAGTTGGGAATGCTCTGGCAAGTCTTGGCTGAGTAATTCAGTCTGTGACTCGAGAAAAAGAATTTCTTCTCAATTTTCCCATCTGAAAAATAAGAAAGTGCCTTCACTGAGCCATCTTGACTAAACAGTGCCATGACTGATGGATTTGGGAAGAGATTGGGAGAAGAAAAGTGTGGTTTCAATAGCTGGAGAGGCTGAGGCAGAGGACATGAAGAATTCCTAAATCCATGAGGATTTTTTTCCCCCCTTACTTTGCTCTAACATGTTTCTACCTCTGGAAACTTTAGACATAAATTTCCATTGATGATTCCTTGGTTTTGGGCTGTGAGAACCATCCCTGAGCTCAGCAATCACTGTTTGGAGCAGCCAGTTTGATTTGGCCATTTTTTATTCCAGTTTAGAAACCAGATTTCCCTAGATTTACTGAATAAATGACTTTTATTTTGGCACTTATTGAAGCAATTAAATTCCTTTTAACTGTGATATCATTGCCATAAAGAGAATCCATCCATTAGGAAATGTGGCTCACAGATCCAGCTGTGTCTGAACAAATCAGTCAATTATAAATAAGTTAATGAATTTATAAAATAACCTGTGCTGGGTGCTGGGGTTGGGCTGATGCTGCCCTGACGTTGTGGGAGCTGCATTCCCATCCCATGGATCCCATCCCATGGATCCCATCCCATGGATCCCATCCCATCCCATCCCATCCAATCCCATGGATCCCGTCCCATCCCATCCCATCCCATGGATCCCATCCCATGGATCCCATCCCATGGATCCCATCCCATCCCATCCCATCCCATCCCATCCCATCCNCCATCCCATCCCATCCCATGGATCCCATCCCATCCCATCCCATCCCATGGATCCCATCCCATGGATCCCATCCCATGGATCCCATCCCATCCCATCCCATCCCATCCCATCCCATGGATCCCATCCCATCCCATGGATCCCATCCCATCCCCACACCTGGAATGGCACCTTCCAAGGAGCAGAACGTGTCACCTGCTGCTCCTCTGCTCCCCAAAAACCACCTGTGCCTTTGAAGGGAACAAATCCCATCAAACACCAAGGAGCAAAATCTGCCCAAAGACAAGAAGAGGAATTAACACTTTTCTTCTTCACAAATTATTGGCAAGCAAGGCAATTAAATAGCCTGATGTAATAGCATCTAATTAACTTGCAAGCCTGAGAATTTCTCATTGTAATGACATCCCAATACTCGGGTTCCTGATTGCCCAGCACATATTAAAGTATGGATATCACATTTAGGTTCCCTAATTTACTATTATTTGCCTGTATATGGTAATTTATTCCCTGAAAATACCGAGAGGGAGAAAGGGAGAAATCTCTTGCTGCTTTTAACTCTGGATATAATTTTGACCTTAAGAAAGAACAAGACAGATATGAAAGAGTATATTAGATGTTATTATTACCGTAATAAAATAGAGATAAAAATCATTGTGCAGAAAAGCTCTAAGACAACTATTAACCATTTGTCATATAAAGAAAATCAAAATTTAACTTATCAGAGAGTCTGGCACTTTAAAGATTCATCATGAAAAATTACTGCAACCACGGAGCATTTATGCAGAATGTCATTGATGAGCTGTCTGCTTAAATGTTGAAAGGGTTTGGGGAAAGACTGAAAAAATGTCAAAGATACGCCTTTTATCAGTCTCACCATATTTAAATTTATTTTTGAGAGTGAAGCAGCATGGCAGGACATTTTTTTCTTTAAGGAAACAAGCTGAGCTCACTGTCCTGCCCCAGTGGGCCATGGCTGGTGAGAACAACCGAGGTGAGGATGGGCCTTGGTGACTGAAAAAATGACACAGCTGAATATCAAACATCACTCTGGGGCTGAGGAACAGAGCAATTTTTGGGGTTAGGACAATTTTTCTGTCTTTGTGGTGTTAGACAGATTTTTTCTTCTAATTCCTTCACAGATTTGAAGTCACTGGGTTGGTTATGCTGGAAAAGGTGATCTCAAAAGCTTGATCAGCTGAGACCCATCTTTTCAACTTCTTGGCTGTGAACCTTCCAGAAGGCAAGTAAGGGCTCAGTGTGACAAGAAATGAGCTGTGGAGAGATGCTCTCCAGACTTCATCCTCAGATCTCATCCTCAGATTTCATCTTCAGATTTCATCCCCAGATTTCATCCCCAGATTTCATCCCCAGATTTCATCCCCAGATCTCATCCCCAGATTTCATCCCCAGATTTCATCCCCAGATTTCATCCCCAGATCTCATCCCCAGATCTCATCCCCAGATCTCATCCCCAGATTTCATCCCCAGATCTCATCCCCAGATCTCATTCCCAGATTTCATCCCCAGATCTCATCCCCAGATCTCATCCCCAGATCTCATCCCCAGATTTCATCCCCAGCTCACTGGAAGAGGAGTGATGGAGCATCTTCCACGGGTTCTGCCCCAGACGTTCGGCGTGTTCAGGGTTGGAATATTTTGTGTTCACTCCTGGTCAGCTGAACCTGGTGAGTCTCTATGGCAACCCTGGAGCACCTCACGATGCTCTGAGCACTTTGAGATTGCCCTGCCCACGGAGCTTCCTCCCACATTTCTGTGCTTGGTCCCTAAGGGCTCTCCTCACCCCCCAAATCCTGACTGGGCTTTCCAAACTGCCAAATTCCAGAGCTGGGAGCTCCACATGGAGCCCAGGCTGCTGTGGTTGGCTCTGTGTCTTCATTAACATCTTAATTAGCAGCGTGACACTTGGCTGAAGCCAAGGTTTGTGAAGATGCTGTGGAAATTTATTGCTCAACTCAGTGATGTCAGCATCGTTCCAGAGGCATTTCAGTCCCCCCAGCTCTGCTTTGCTTT